GGCTTTAAACCCCATTACTCAAGGAGTCTCGTCAAACATAAAACCTCACACTTCACTTTATGTCACGATAAAACTCAGAGCTCAGCAAATCAATACACAGAGATACATTGAACATAATTCTAATTCTGTATGCAATAAGATCACAGTAAACAGGTGATGTCACAATATGCAAAACCACTGTGAAAAAATAGTGAATTTCTAAGCGCTTTCTTGATTTCTCACATTAATCGTATGTGAGGTGATATGTTCTATTATTTTTACAGTTCCTTGATGATGTGGGAAATCACGAAAGCGCTTGGAAGTTCACTATTTTTTTCACAGTGGTTGTTCCTTGACGCTGGTGAGGGGCTCTTGATCTAGGGAATCGGATCTGTGCTCCGGTTCCCTGAACTGAACCTGAATACCTTCCATCCCCCCCACCAAAGGCGCTGTATAATCATACGGGTTTAGAGTTTCCCATAATTATAATAATAATAATTTCGTAGGCTATGTATCTCTTATTATATATACTCCGAAAATTGACTTTAAACCCCAGACCGGAATATGCTGCAACCTTCAGGACGCTTTGAATCATCAATAGACTTCAATATCTTTTATCAGAGTAAGACAGATGGTTAACATTAGAAATGTTTATAAACAGAGCGTTTCATCAACAAACATCAATGTACATGGACTCCAAGCTGAGGGACTGATTACCTCAAACTCCTGGATGAGTGAATTAGACTGATGAAGCCACTGTGTGGCGAGACGTTTCCACACTGAAGAGACCCCAAGTGCTGCACTTGTGATGCGGGAAACAAGACTCTTCAGTGACCTATCAGTAAGTCCTGTGTTCTGTAACACTGGAGTTATAGTCTTGGTCAGAAGGACCTCCAGTGTGATATTGTGTCTTCCTCCAGTTGAGGTTACTGCTCACTCATCCTCCAGGTGAGGTCACTGTTCACTCATCCTCCAGGTGAGGTCACTGTTCACTCATCCTCCAGGTGAGGTCCTTGTTCACTCATCATCCAAGTGAGGTCCTTGTTCACTCATCCTTCAGGTGAGGTCACTGTTCGCTCATCCTCCAGGTGAGGTCACTGTTCACTCATCATCCAAGTGAGGTCCTTGTTCACTCATCCTCCAGGTGAAGTCACTGTTCACTCATCCTCCAGGTGACGTCCTTGTTCACTCATCCTACAGGTGAGGTCACTGTTCACTCATCCTCCAGGTGAGGTCACTGTTCATTTATTCTCCACGTGAGGTCACTGTTCACTCATCATCCAGGTGAGGTCACTGTTCACTCATCATCCAAGTGAGGTCCTTGTTCACTCATCCTCCAGGTGAAGTCACTGTTCACTCATCCTCCAGGTGACGTCCTTGTTCACTCATCCTACAGGTGAGGTCACTGTTCACTCATCATCTAGGTGAGGTCACTGTTCACTCATCCTCCAGGTGAGGCCACTGTTAACTCATCCTCCAGGTGAAGCCACTGTTCACTCATCCTCCAGGTGAGGTCACTGTCCACTCATCCTCCAGGTGAGGTCACTGGTCACTCATCCTCCAGGTGAGGTCACTGTTCACTCATAATCCAGGTGAGGTCACTGTTCATTTATTCTCCACGTGAGGTCACTGTTCACTCATCATCCAGGTGAGGTCACTGTTCACTCATCCTCTAGGTGAGATCTCTCTTTACTCATCCTCCAGGTGAGGTCACTGTTCACTCATCCTCCAGGTGAGGTCACTGTTCATTTATTCTCCAGGTGAGGTCACTGTTCATTTATTCTCCAGGTGAGGTCACGGTTCACTCATCCTCTAGGTGAGATCTCACTTTACTCATCCTCCAGGTGAGGTCACTGTTCACTCATCCTCCAGGTGAGGTCACTGTTCATTTATTCTCCACGTGAGGTCATCATCCAGGTGAGGTCACTGTTCACTCATCCTCTAGGTGAGATCTCTCTTTACTCATCATCCAGGTGAGGTCACTGTTCACTCATCATCCAGGTGAGGTCGCTGTTCACTCATCATCCAGGTGAGGTCCTTGTTCACTCATCATCCAGGTGAGGTCACTGTTCACTCATCCTCCAGGTGAGGTCCTTGTTCACTCATCCTCCAGGTGAGGTCACTGTTCTCTCATCCTCCAGGTGAGGTCACTGTTCTCTCATCCTCTAGGTGAGGTCACTGTTCACTCATTCTCCAGGTGAGGTCACTGTTCACTCATCCTCCAGGTGAGGTCACTGTTCACTCATCCTCCAGATGAGGTCACTGTTCACTCATCATCCAGGTGAGGCCCTTGTTCACTCATCCTCCAGGTGGGGTCACTGTTCACTCATCCTCCAGGTGAGGTCACTGTTCACTCATCCTCCAGGTGAGGTGCTTGTTAACTCATCCTCCAGGTGGGGTCACTGTTCACTCATCCTCCAGGTGAGGTCACTGTTCTCTCATCCTCCAGGTGAGGTCACTGTTCACTCATCCTCCAGGTGAGGTGCTTGTTCACTCATCCTCCAGGTGGGGTCACTCTTCACTCATCCTCCAGGTGAGGTCACTGTTCACTCATCCTCCAGGTGGGGTCACTGTTCACTCATCCTCCAGGTGAAATCACTGTTCTCTCATCCTCCAGGTGAGGTCACTGTTCTCTCATCCTCCAGGTGGGGTCACTGTTCACTCATCCTCCAGGTGAGGTCCTTGTTCACTCATCCTCCAGGTGAGGTCACTGTTCACTCATCCTCCAGGTGATGTCACTGTTCACTCATCCTCCAGGTGAGGTCACTGTTCACTCATCCTCCATGTGAGGTCACTGTTTACTCATCCTCCATGTGAGGTCACTGTTCACTCATCCTCCAGGTGAGGTGCTTGTTCACTCATCCTCCAGGTGGGGTCACTGTTCACTCATCCTCCAGGTGAGGTCACTGTTCTCTCATCCTCCAGGTGAGGTCACTGTTCTCTCATCCTCCAGGTGAGGTCACTGTTCTCTCATCCTCCAGGTGAGGTCGCTGTTCACTCATCCTCCTGGTGAGGTCACTGTTCACTCAGTAGTAATCACCGAACTAATGGCTGACTACTGTCCACACAGCTTAGTTTTTTTTTTTCTTTTTTTTTGTGGGGGGAGTGGGGTTATCCTGGATTGTCTGCCATCCTGGGTTATCTGTCATCCTAGATTATCTGGGCATCCTGCTCTTTTTCCACATTACTTCCTGTGACATTATTATATGTCTATAATTTAGCCATATATTACTGGCTTTGTTGGGTGTGACAGTCACCCAACTCTAGTCCTGGTAACTGGCCTTAAATGCACCAGTTTAGAACACGCTTTCTGTGTTCTGAATTCTCCATTCATTATATGGGGCAATAAAGAAACAATATGGGGTACCAGCTTTTACTGGAACAATTTATCGCCCAGGAGAGAGATTTATGACTTAATAAAGCTCAGACCTAAGCGAAACGTAGCCTCAATGAAAGTTTGTTGTGGACTGTTTCTCTACGAAACGTCGTCTTAAGATTTATCGCCAGTCTGTGAGCTATATGGGAAATGTTCCATCCACGGTATTGCGATTTTTATTCTTCATTAATCTTGCCCGGTCCTCGGATGCCATGACCAGACAGACATGAAGGATTCACGCTATAAACACTGTGAACCCAGATCTGTGCAACCAAGAGATACTCACGTACTGTGAACCCAGAGGCCTCCAGCCAAGAGATACTCACGTATTGTGAACCCAGAGTCATCCAGCCAGGAGATACTCACGTAATGTGAACCCAGAACCATCCGACCGGAAGATACGACAACATAGTCACAGATCCAACAGTAACAACACAGGGAAGACAACACAGCCACAGACCACAACATCTTGTCCTCAATATGACCTTCTTTTAAAATAATGAACATAAGTACAAAAAGAAAAAAACTGACTCGTGTATCAGTTCAACCACGTACAAGCAAATGTATCGAGAGCTCGGCACTCCGTGTGAAGGTCGGGAGTGTGAGAGGTCCTGAAATAGCCCAGTAATGCCCATGACATCTCTCACGAGAATGATTCGCAGGCCACGAGCAACAATGCCTTAGGAAGGCAACAATACAACACTGTCACTTGTGTCAACAACGTGAGCGCACTGAAGCGTAATTCAGCAAGTGACTTCAGCCTCTGTCGCTCAGGACAGGAGACGCGCGCTGTTGCTCGCTCTGGCTGACTCATTCTCTTCCTCTAAAGCAAAAAAAAAAAAAAAAAAATACGTTTATCATCTGCCACAGTCATGGCTGAAAAATTGAAAAAATCTTCAGATCTGAACGACTGTCGCTCGCGGTTTGAGAATGAGCTGGCTTATAAACTACGAAAAAAAAATCACTCAGTGCGGGATCAAGAGCTAGAACTGAATCGTCCAAACACAAGCATGTTAATACAAACATTGGTGAGGTGTTGGTGAGAGAGCGTCAGAGTGAGTCAAGTTCACAGTGACAAGGAATTTCTAACTTAGGAGTCCCTTGTACTCTGTATAAATCTTGTGATTCTTCTCTTTCTTCTTCTTCTTCTTCTTCTTCTTCTTCTTCTTCTTCTTCTTATTATTATTATTATTATTATTATTATTATTATTATTATTATTATTATTATTATTATTATATTATTATTATTATCATTATCATCATTATATTCATGGGGAGGCACTAAACCCTTAGGGATCCCACAAAGATTGCATAAAAGGAAGGTAAACAAATTTGATCCAAGGGAAGGATGACTAGTTCCTTGAATCAAGAGCCTCACATCAGCATCAACACCATGCTGCTTTTCATTTAAATGACGGATCCAAAATATTTTTCAGTCGTTAGGCTTTACGTTTCAGTGAACACAAAAAGAACACCATTCGCAGCATCTGTGAAGCATTGTTCACTTCAGGAATACAATGATATTTCAAGAGACGGTGGCGAATATTGTGGTGTTGCATTGCTGATGGTGAGGAAGGGTGGCCTTGGGAATATATAACAGAAGGGCCATCCGCCTTCCTTCTCCAGTGTGTCTCAGGCAGCAGACATGACTAGTGTTCTTGTTCAGACTCTCCTGCTGGGTGTCATCAGCCTCACCCTCCACACAGGTACTGGGAATTTAGACCTCCGTCAGCCTTCATCTCTTATAGTTCAGACTTACTGCTGGGTGTCCCCAGCCTCGCCCTCCCGCACGCAGTACTAACTCAGGCCTTGTTAGGTAAGACACATATGAAACAGGTATCTTTATTTCGAAATAAAGATACCTAACTGTTGCATATGTGTCTTACCTAACAACCTGTCGGTATTTTATACCATTTTAATATTCAACTCAGGCTTTAGCATCGCTCTCTTGCACATAAAGGTCAGTGGTATTTATTCTTTATTCCTCTTCTGTGATTCATTCCAAGATATAGTTGAGGAGAATGTATTTATCCTCATCTTCACACAATACTGTTTTCCTCTCCCTGCTACACCAACCTGCCGTGGCCAGTTTAAGAGCAACGAAGTCAGTCTGGGCTGATGATACCCACTTCAAAAATTTCTGAAGAATTTTCGAACTGGGTTTGTCACTACGCAAAGAAAATGGATAAAAAAAATTAATGAATCGCATTTGTTCCTGTCGATTTACCAGCCATCTACGGTATAAATGGCTAAGGATTGATTCCTATCCTCTTTCTTTTCAAGACTGGAAAGAAAAGTTACAGATATGAATAAACTAATGTGATAACGAATGTAAGTAGGAGTATCAGGTATATCCGAATGTTCGTGAGACAAAAATGGGAAACCAGAGATCCTGTAGTGAAAGATACATAAAAAAGAATGTAATAAGCAGTACGAAGCGAGCAGAACTAGGAAGGTGTCAACATATGTGGACTACGACTCTTCATCCTTCCATCAGCAGAAATAAGAAATATTGTAAGAGTCAAGGAAAGAGTCTTTATGAAAGAATTCGACGAGCTTCTTCGGAAGGTGTCTCAAGAGCCGGCCCGACTCAGGCAAGAGTAGAAAAACTCTTCACCAAAACCCGGGACTTAGGAGAGGGAACCATATGACGATGTTTCGGTGACTATTCCAGGACGGGGCGAAATTTCCTCATCAGCTGTTTCTCCCGAGCGAGTTTTTTTTTTTTTTTAGCAAATTGTTATATCCACGGTACTAAAATTTTCATTCTTTCTGGAAAATCTTTTAAAACTAAACTCACATTCTGTCAGTCTCTTCCATTTCTCTAAAACACAGCAAAAAGAGGTACTGTATAAATAATAATGTGTGTATATTCTGTGGTGCAGCAGTGGAGGCTGTGGAGGAGCAGTGTGGGACGCTCACCTCCCACATGGAGTGGAACGGCAGCTACATAGCCAATTTCTCCTCTCAAACCCTGAGACCATTCCTGGGTCTGAACGTGACGTTCACCTTCAATCTTCCCGTCACCAGAGTCAACGTTAGTCAGAGATAATTTATTTTCTTGCAGCACGTTAGTTTACTCTGTTATCGTTAAAGCCTATGCTTTAATATCCGAAAATTAATTAAATCTGCCTGGTGGATTTTTTCCCGATAATAAATAAATTCAAACAAAAATTAACTAAAATTTTAGTTTTTAAAAGCAAATTTTATAAATATTTGTCATATTTTTTTCACACAGAACTGGGGGGGTTCCTCCAAAAAGATAAACGACACTCACTTCAGGTTGATCACCGGATACAAGTTTGCTGAGACCGGGACCTACGTCAACTTCCAGTTCAATGTGTTCTACGAGGGAAGCAGCAAACCTTTGATCATCGCTATTGACATGAACGGCCAGGACGCTTGTGGTGACACTAACATGTTTCTATATTATGTCAGATTTTAAATGGAATACTTTATTTGTTATGGCGCAGCCTTTATTACTATGGTCTATATTTTCCTTGTATTACTTGCATCGCCAACATTCTTCAGGTCTCCACCTTCCTTCTCTCGCATCCCAACATTCTTCAGGTCTCTACCTTCCTTCTCTCACTTGCATCCCCAACATTCTTCAGGTCTCCACCTTCCTTCTCTCACTTGCATCCCCAACATTCTTCAGGTCTCTGCCTTCCTTCTTTCACTTGCATACCCATCATTCTTTAATTCTCTACCTTCCTTCTCTCACTTGCATCGCCAACATTCTTCAGGTCTCCACCTTCCTTCTCTCGCATCCCCAACATTCTTCAGGTCTCTGCCTTCCTTCTCTCACTTGCATCGCCAACATTCTTCAGGTCTCCACCTTCCTTCTCTCACTTGCATCCCCAACATTCTTCAGGTCTCTGCCTTCCTTCTTTCACTTGCATACCCATCATTCTTTAATCCTCTACCTTCCTTCTCTCACTTGCATCGCCAACATTCTTCAGTTCTCCACCTTCCTTCTCTCGCATCCCCAACATTCTTCAGGTCTCTACCTTCCTTCTCTCACTTGCATCCCCAACATTCTTCAGGTCTCCACCTTCCTTCTCTCACTTGCATCCCCAACATTCTTCAGGTCTCTACCTTCCTTCTCTCACTTGCATCGCCAACATTCTTCAGGTCTCCACCTTCCTTCTCTCGCATCCCCAACATTCTTCAGGTCTCTACCTTCCTTCCTTCACTTGCATACGCCAACATTCTTCAGGTCTCCACCTTCCTTCTCTCGCATCCCCAGCATTCTTCAGGTCTCTACCTTCCTTCCCTCACTTGCATCCCCAACATTCTTCAGGTCTCTGCCTTCCTTCTCTCACTTGCATCCCCAACATTCTTCAGGCCTCTACCTCTGGTCTCTCCACCTTCCTTCTCTCGCATCCCCAACATTCTTCAGGTCTCTACCTTCCTTCCCTCACTTGCATCCCCAACATTCTTCAGGTCTCTGCCTTCCTTCTCTCACTTGCATCCCCAACATTCTTCAGGCCTCTACCTCTGGTCTCGATCTCACATTTTTCATTGTCACTGCCAACATTCTTTAGACTTTTATTTCCTTTCCTGAACTTCACTAACATTACTGAAGTCTCTGAAGCGGTGGTGTGAGAGGAGCTCCCGCCTCTTACATCACCAACATCGCTCAGTTTTACGTACCTCATTACACATTTCGCCTTTTCTTCTTGCAGACGGGTCGGTGGTGTGGGTACCAGGTCCTTCCCCCGTGCAGCCTTGTCAACCCACCGGGATGAAGAAGTACGATTACAGCCAGGTTAGTGGTGCCTCCTCTAACCTGACAGAATAAACCTCTTTTTATCAAATGCTGTTAATCTGAATCTCCAGATATAATGCTTTAACTCCCACAATAACGAGTAATTAGCAAAACTTCGAAATCGTCAACATTTCCCAACAATGTTTTGTTCCTGGGTTACACGCGTTTACCACTTAAACGCGTAATTACGCAGTATTCCAATAATTTCTGGTCTATCGGCCAATGATTTAAACGTATATTCTGCTGCATTACGTCTATTGAAATTTATTCCTTTGCTTAACAGCAAAATTAGATAGTTTGTGAGAGCATTTGAAGCTCACACCTGTACACAGGTGAACAGACACACCTGCCGCTGCACGCAGATGTTCCCTTTATTCATCTTATCTCCCCTATTCATCCCTATGTATCCTCGTCTTACTCGGAAAAGAGTTTATGGTCACTCAATATCCTGACACTCATGTACTCGAGTAAAAGTAGCCAGTCCTCTGTCACTCACAGGCTCTGTGCATGTCCTTCCTGTTCTACGAGGCTCAGAGGTCTGGTCAACTGCCTGAGGAGCAGCGCGTCACCGGCTGGAGGTGGAACTCAGCCATGAACGATGGAGCTGATGTGGGTCATGACCTGACTGGAGGCTACTACGATGGTGAGAGATAGAAGTAGTAGTAGTAGTAGTCGTAGCAGTAGTAGTAATAGTAGTATCAGTATTAGTAGTAATCTCAATAATACCTGGTTGTGAAATTTACAGGGCATTTAAAATATACAAAACTCAATAATAACAAGAACAAAACTATTTTGTGTGTGTGTGTTTGTATACCATCAGCTGCAGCACCACTAACCTGACTCTAGCTGGAACCATTTATCTTCACGACAGCTGGTGACCACGTCAAGTTCGGCTTCCCAATGGCCTTCACAGCCACCGTCCTGGCCTGGGGCCTCCTCGACTTTCGTGAAGGTTATGATAAAGCCGGTGAGTACTGCACTGTGCTAAGCTTATCATAGCAAATATACAGTGTTAAAGTTTGTATCTAAGGGAACTTGTCCAGTAATTTAATTCTACCTCTTCCATAAAGTTTATATATATATACATATATATATATATATATATATATATATATATATATATATATATATATATATATATATATATAATATATATATATATATATATATAACACATACTGGATTCAGTGTGAACCCGGTTGCTGCACTTTAGGAAAAGAGTACTGTGTAGTGTTATGATTTGTGATAATTATTTAAAGTGGCTTGTGCTTTCAAGGTTAAGAGATAGATGCAGCTGAAGGGCATCTGATCCTAGGAACCGGAGCTAATTCTTTCCCTCCACAGATCACACTTGACTGTCTCCCATTTCCCAGGCACTGTGTAATCTCTACTGGTTTAGCGCTTCCCTCTTGTAGCAATTAATAATAATAATAATAATGCGTCAAACGTTTTCAAAAACGTAAAAGCAAATCCAGAAATATTCATAAACACGATAATAACACTTGCCATCAACATCACTCTGCATCACCACGCAAAAATTCTATGAGCTTCTCCATATCACATCATCATTACCTCCTTTAATACATGTCTGTGGCAAATACAACCATAAAAATGTTCTACAACACGTGTTACTACACGTCTCCACGACGTTCACGACACGTCGCTGTTCAGAGAGCTAAAGTGCTGCTGCATCTACAGGTCAGACGGAATACGGTCGAGCTGCTATCAAATGGGCCACCGACTACTTCCTGAAGGCTCACACAGGCGAATACGAACTGTACGGCCAGGTTTGTTGATCTTGTGCTCGCCAACACCAGCTGAAAATTGTTGCAGGTTGTCTGCAATCACCAGAAAACTAGCTGACACCTGCTGCAGCTTGTCTGTCATCACCACAATACTACCTGACACTATTAAACCTGCAGCAAGCTGGCTAAGGTGTAAAAGTATTCTAAGCTAGTGGATATCAGTGCTAATAACCACTACCAGTACACTGAAAGGTATTGGTCAGTGATAAACTGGTCACTTGCTGCCAGTAACAGGTTGACAAATTACCACAGTCATTATACTAGCAGACCTCTCTAGAATCATGTTGGTTAACTTCCTCTGCTAATATATACCTCACTTTGACAAGAGTTGTTATGTTTAATATTCGGCGGATGATTGTAATTGTGATGATTTGTGCATTAACAACTTGTACTTAAATGATTAGCTTAGCACATGTTATTTCATTACGATAAATTTCTGCTTTACTTAAATTTAAAAAAGAAATCACTAATTGACTCTGAATCTGACAGTAATTAAGAACAGGTTAAGGTGCTGCTGCTGACTCTACTCCTGGCGATTATGTACTCTGAATCTTGCAGGATTTAATGTTGAACCTCCATGGCTAGCAGTGTCACATACACTGAATCTTGCAGTATTTAATGGTGACCACTATGGCTGGTACTGACATATATATATTCTGAATCTTGCTTGAGGTTAAAGTTCTTTTGATGGCTGACAGGTTGGCTCAGGTCATCTTGATCACGATTTCTGGGGTCGACCTGAAGACATGGTGATGAAGCGACCGTCTATGAAGATTGACAGAGACGCTCCAGGTTAGTACTATGGCGCTCGTGGATGACGATTTTCTTTAAGACAGTGAGATAACTGACATTAACGGAATACAATTACGACAGTGCGTATTCTTTGCATGGGACTGAAAAAGGCCATTGGTTAGCGGAACTTCTCATCGGTGGCTAGTTCGGTGGCTGCACGATCCGTGAAGCGTATCCTCCTTACTGTATCACCCCAGTCCCCTGCATCTCATGGCACGCGATTGGAATAGTGCAGAGTGCGCCACAAGTTTGTAATGCGGGTATGTAGATAAATGGTTCAGAGAACGAAGAAGCTGATAAGCTAGAAACATGTGCAACACTTGGGTATCTTTACTGAGGAAACGTTTCGCCACACAGTGACTTCATCAGTCCAGTACAAAGAAAAATGGTGAAAATTAGAAGGAATACCAGGTAATCAGTCCCTCAGCCTGGAGTCGCTATAACAGTGTGGCTGGCCTCACAGTGGTAGTAACAGTGTGGTTGCCCTGACAATGGTAATAACGGTGTGGTTGTCCCAACAATTGTACTAACAGTCTGGTTGTCCTAACAAAGGTAGTAACAGTCTGGTTGTCCTAACAAGGGTAGTAACAGTCTGGTTGTCTTGACAGGAACAGAGTTGGCCTGCGAGACAGCTGCTGCCTTGGCTGCCGCCTCCCTTGTCTTCAAGGTAATATTCCCATGTGAAGGGGCTCTTGATCTGAGAGGTGGAACTGCCCCCTCCCATTCCTCGGATCAATTTTCATTGCCACCCATTCAACACTGTATCAACCATACGGCTGTATATCTTTTAATAATATCAATTACAATAACAATAATTACAATAATAATTATTACTACTAATAATAATTATGATTACTACTACTACTAATAATAATTACTACTGCTATAAAAATAATAATAATCACTACTACTACTAATAATAATAATGATTACTATTATTAATAATAATAATAATAATCGTTACTATTGCTAATAATAATAATTACTAATACTCATAATACTAATAATAATAATAATAATAATATCTGTGGGTGTGGTGCAGGAGGCTGATCCGGTGTACTCAGTCCAGCTGCTGAAGGTGGCCGAGGAGCTGTTCTCCTTCGGGGATGAGTACCGCCTTGAGTACCACCAATCCATCCCCGACGTTTTCCCCTTCTACAGGTAAATCTCACGGTCGCTCGTGTCAGCGTGGCTACCTATCGACTATCGAATACCTGAGCGTCATTAAGGCTACATGTATACCGTTCATCATCTGTCAGTGTATTACCTTTAACAGGGATTAAAGTAAACGCTCTCTCTCTCTCTCTCTCTCTCGACCGACCGACCGACTTGTTGAAAAAAAAAAAAAAAAAAAAAAAAAAAAAAAAAAAAATTATATATATATTATATATATATATATATATATATATATATATATATATATATAATATATATATATATATATATATATATATATATATATATATATATATATATATATATATATATGTCGTGCCGAATATGTAAAACTGGTCAATTAGCAAGAACTCATTTAAAATTAAGTCTTTTCTAAAATTTTCTCTTATACGTTTAAAGATATATATTTTTCATTAATGTTAAAGTAAAAAAATTTAATTTTGCACCAAACGAATCTTAGAAAACTTACCTAACCTTATTATAACAAGAACAATTTATTTTAGCCTAATCCAACTAAATATATTTTAGATTTGTTTACAATAATTTAATACTAAACAAACACAGTGAAATATATTGTTTTCGTCAAATTCTGCCTATTCGGCACGACATATTTATATAGACGGCCGACTTGTTAAAAAAAAATATTTATACACGTATACCCACTCACGAATGGTGAAGTGTCCGTCGGCAAGTGCCTTTGACAACTGGTAACTAAGTAGCATGACATTCTAGATCGTGTATTCTGTACAGCAAGTCACACATAACCAACATATTAGGGAGGTAGCTTCAGATGATGTATGATGTTTCGGTCCGTCCTGGGCCATTATTTATATCCAAGACAGAGCGAAACGTCGTCTGAAGTTTACCTTCAAGATTGTGGGTTAAGTATAAGTTATTAGAGCCACGGCTTAGCGAATATTCTTGTTTTTGTTTTTAATAATAATAATAATAATAATAATAATAATAATAATAATAATATACTTCTACTACCACTACTGCTGCTGCTACTACAATAATAATAATAATAATAATAATAATAATAATAATCTTGATACCGATGATGTCCAGATCGTACAGTGGGTACGGAGATGAGTTACTGTGGGGCGCACTGTGGCTCTACCGTGCTACTGGTGATACCAGGTACCTCAACAAGGCTCAGGCAGCTTGGGAGGAATTCAACCTGGGTAAAGCGGACAAGCATTTCTCTTGGGACGACAAGAAGCCCGGTGCTTATGTAAGTCAATTATCTTTTCTCTTTCTCTTTTTCCCTTTTCCTCGAGGCAACAAGAGTTAACGTATGTTGTGATTTTTTATTTCGATTGCTATGTGATTTGGGGAAGGGACAGGTGGATGAAAGAGAAGATTGGACATCTTTACTGTGGATCATCTCAAGGTTCCATCGTCAACCGTGCTCTCTGTATTAAACTGATCAAGCCACTGGCTGGAGAAATATTCTCAGAGTAGAGATGCACTGGTGTGTCACAAGCGACTAATTCATCTTCCAATATTTTCAATTTGTACCTTTTTTTTTGCACAAGAACTATCCTAGAAATCTAATTATGACTTTCAAAAAAATTACGGCATATAAAATACCAGAATTCACCTGTAATAACTGTCGTGAATGACTCCCTGTGAGCTGTGAACTTCGTGAGAAAGTCTCTTATCTGTGATCTCTCCCCAGGCCCTGGGCTGGATGCTGCAGCCTAATAACACCATGTATGAGGACGCTCTCAAAGCCTACCTTAGTTTCCTGAAGACTGACGCCCCGTACACCCCTGGCGGCCTTGTTTACCTCGATCACTGGGGCTCGAACCGCCATGCTGCCAATGCAGCCTTCATCTCTCTCTGGGTCAGTCTACCAATACGTTTTACAGGCTTGGAATTAAGACTGAATACAAGGGAGAGGCGGTGTGTTCACTGTGTATGTGTGTGCTGCCCCTGTTCACCTAACAGTAAGTAGGTACATGGGCGTTAGTCAACAAGTGTGGGTCGCATCCTGGGAAGTGATAGAAATAAACAGAGGTAGGATAACAGCTCTTCGCCTGAAAAAAAATATTTGTGCAAATAAAAAATAAAAGAGGAAGCTAAAAGGGACGAAAAGAGAGCAAACTGTAACAATAACACTCAGCAAAAATACACAAGAAATGGATGTTGCTTCCAGGCTGCCAAGTACGGTGACCCGGCGGAGGCAGCAGGTAACACAGCCTGGGCTGAGGGCCAGCTGGGCTACATCCTGGGAGACAACGGTCACTCCTTCGTCGTGGGCTTCGGTGTCGACCCCCCAACTCACTACCACCACCGAGCAAGGTACTCCCATACACACACCTCTATTGCCACACTTATATATATATATATATATATATATATATATATATATTATATATATATATATATATATATATATATATATATATGCAATAAGATCACAGTAAACAGGTGATTTTAAATTATGCAAAACAACCACTCTGAAAGAATAGAGAAATTCCAAGCGCTTTCGTGACTACTCACATTATCAAGTTCCTTGATAATGTGAGTAGTCACGAAAGCGCTTGGAATTTCTCTATTCTTTCAGAGTGGTTGTTTTGCATATATATATATATATAATATATATATATAATATATATATATATATATATATATATATATATATATATATATATATATATAATATATATATATATATATATATATATATATATATATATATATCAAATATTTTTCCTTGAAGCCTTTTTATCCACTTCTCCGAGGCTATGGGTCCCACTATATATATATATATATATATAATATATATATATATATATATATATATATATATATATATATATATATATATATATATATATATATATATATAATATATATGCAAAACAACCACTCTGAAAGAATAGAGAAATTCCAAGCGCTTTCGTGACTACTCACATTATCAAGGAACTATGAAAGTGAAGCATCCAAGGAAGCTATATAAGGGGTCGGCCAGCACCTCACTATCAGATCCCACAGGGTTTAAACACGTGACGCGGGGCGACCCCAACTTGGACAGTCCTTTGCAAAACTCACCCCAAGCTATTTATTTGTCCAGTGAAATTATTAAATTCTACCCAAATTCTATTAATTATAAATGGATCTAATTAAATAAACCAAAGGGAAAATTTCCCATATTATGTCAAAACTGCTTTTTATGAAACAAGATTAAATTATAAATCCTGTCGACCATGGACTTGTTTGATACTACTTTCTCAACTTTTTGAAAATCAATTGGATGGTTAAAATCTCATTACATGAATAAATAGAGCATTGGAATCTTGTCCAGTTTCTAATGCATATTTATGTGTTTTAATCTTAGTTCGAGATTTTTACCAGTTTTGACCGTAATAAACTTTATCGCAAATTTTACAAGGAATCTTTTAGACACATCCATCAGCATTTTGGGGGAATTCTTAATCAAAAGTTTTTTTACTGTATCAAGATTTTTGAATACAACTTTAATATTAAAAGTCTTAAGAAGAGAAGGCATATCAACCAAGTTTTCATGGAAGGGAGAACCAACATATTTTTAGTTGAATAAGGCTGGTTCCCTTTTTTGGATTATAAAAGTGTTCCTAGCAACTTTAAAAGATTTATCAATTACATTTTTTTGGGTATTTTAATCATTACCTATTCATAAATTTTGGATAATTTTCCTCATCTATAACTCAGGACTACAAATTCGTAAAGCTCTCAAAAACATTGATGAGAAAACAGACAGTTTGACTCTATCTTGATGCGAGGGAATAATAGTGGACATAGGGAACAGTTATTTGTAGTTTTTCTGTAAATTTAAATTTGAATTCATTATTACCCTTAATAATTAAAACATCTAGAAAAGGCAATGAGTTATTTTCTTCAAACTCGACAGTAAAGTTTATAGAA